TGAAAACCTGAAAGCAGTGTCACTTATGGTGTGTCTTAAATTAAGTAGGTTTTCCTCTTCCTCCTCCTTTTTTTTCTTGTGGTAAAACCACCTGTACAGCTGTATGGTAACTGAAGAGCCTGCAGCTTTAACTCACACAGTCAGATGCATAGATTCTGTTGCACTAATTTGAAGTTAAGGTATTAATACAGTTAAAGTTTAGTTTATTTATATATCCTTTCTTCTCCCCCCCCCCCCACACACTCCCCCTTCACAGTGTGTAATTTCATGGTATCATGTGTATTTTATTATTTGCATTCAATTATTCCACTGCTGTTCCCAGTTGTTTCCTATTGTTAACATTATAACTGTCTACCTTGTGCCACTGTGTCCCTCTCCCCCCCCCCCCAGCCCCCAACCCCCTTCATATTAGCTTTTCAAGGTTTGAGATTTCCTTGTGCTTCTGTATCTCAGACAACATCAGAGCTATGGAACCTTCTGTGTGTAAATTTTACTTCTTTTAATAAACTTCTTGAGTTTTATTAACAGCTTCAGATGATGATTAACCAGTCCTCTGGATATAAGTGCGCTCTGGGTACTAGAAGTCTGTTCAAAGATACCTTAACTGAAAAATAGAATGTGAAGGAAGACCATATCCATAAGTATAAGCCAGAGTGGGCAGGGAGCAGAGTTATGGTTGAGCTTTCACCCTTAATTCTGTATTTCAAGGGTTCTGAATGCTTGGTTTGTTAGCATTAGTGCTGCAATAACTTAGGGTATTTTTCCATGAGAGTGTGTGTGTTTAACCAACTAAGCATGAAATCCCTTGCTTCTGTTTGTCCCTATTAAATAGTGGCAACAAAAGAAACAGACAGGAGATGGGTCCAGAACAAAGCAGAAATAATGGAGTATTTCACCCCAAAAAGGAGAGTGAAACGAGAATTACAATGAGTAGGCAAAGACCGACTCAACAGCTGGAGGCAGTTTAATGTGTTGTAGAGAGTAGTAATTCAGGGACATTTGCTGCCCAGAGCTTCAATCTGTGATCTCCGAGTGGCACAGACATCAGAAGTGTTTGGCCATCCCTGCTGTAAACACAGTATGCTTTTCCCCAGAAGAACTCTCCATAGAGCTTTAAAGGGACACTGTCTAGGATTGTCAGCATAAATACTGATCCACCTAAAACTAGAGTTGTGTGGTTGGGTTAGAAATCCATAAGGTAGAGTAGGACTCTCTAACTTCTTCCCTTCACTCTTGCAAATGATTATACATGCATATGCAGTGTGTGTGCACACTTACAAGTAAAATGAAGTCACAGTGGTTCCGAATATTACAGATTTCTGCACACTGCAGCATGTATTGCTCCCAGTTTCCTGGATAAGTACATCCTTTTTTCAAAAACTGGCTAAATGCATACATATTTTAAAGATATCTTATTATCAATGCTTAAAAATACATTTGTTCATTAAAATACAAAATTAATATAAAAATCGTGAAAGCTTACATTTTGATATGTTGTTCCCCTTATAGTAAGGTCTTACCCTGATAAGATGAAAAGGCTCAAAAAAAAGTTGTTTATTTTTTGTTGCTAGCAGTGGGGCTGGAATACGTGGCCGTATCCCAAACAACATTTTAGTGACTGTACCAGCCAGCTCTGCTTGACCGTATGTTTGCAGTAGTCCAATGTTTTCTTTCTGTCCCCTCCAACACTTCCTCCAAGAGGCACTGTTTGGGTTCAGAGTTTGCTTTATAATACCTAAAAGGCAGGCTTTTATTGCCCATTGAGCAAATAGGGTTTGGGAATCAATGGAAGAGACTTCCAAGTCCGTACCTGACAAGTGTTTTGAGACCAGTCAGACTGTTAGTTCAAGCTTCTCATATGCCCTTTGGGTTGTCCAAATGGAGTGGAAAGTATGCGGGTTTGGGAAAGAACTGAGTGCTAGCAGTGGAATGGGCAAACCTCTCAGTGTTTTTGGTATATTTGTGTTTTGGAATTCTGGTATTGCATCTTTAGTTACTACTACACATTTATTGCAGTTCTGTGGACTTCAGAGTGCACTGTAATGTGTGATGACATCTTAAATAATGTGTAGTTCTTAGTCCATGGTTATAAAATATTTCAGAATGCATTTCCTGTCCATAATAAACTGAATATAAGGTGTAATTTTATTTGCATGGTCCATAACCTCTGAATTTTCTACTCTCCATAGATACTGTTCAGCTACTAGATACAGCTGCCAAAGTTGTGACAATAGAGGTTTAGTCTCCATAAGGGATGCTTAAATAGCTCAGACTTTGTTAGGGGCCAGGTAACTTTAAGCTGCTGAGAGAACAGGAAGAGGGTGATCAGGCTGTTTGTATAGTGATGCTTCCAATAGAAGAGATGTTCACTGAGCTCCAGTAAGGAATTGCAAAACAAGTTTATAAAGTTCAAATATGTTATTACAAGTATCCCCTACAATATGCTGTAGAATTTCTCATGTTGGCCACTTCTAAGTGCTATACACAGTAACTTAAGTTTCAGCAACTTTTTGAAGCTAGAATATTAAAAGTTTGTTTTTGTTACAACTAAACCAATCCACTGAAGGAAATTAGCCTAGCACAAGGACAAAGTCACAAATATAACAAAGATGGGGAATCATATAAAATAAAGTATGAGAGTTTTCTGGAGGGTGCCATTTTCCTGGCTTCTGGAAATCTCGGAAATTTTCATACCTAACTGTGCTTACTGGTGAAGGATGCTTGAGAGGGTGGTGGGTCTACATGTGCTGGTTTGGATGTGCAACTTGACTTGAGTTTTTGATTGTATGTTTAATCCACAACACATAAAGATTCTCCAGACTAAGTTAGACTTGACGAATCTGCACTAAAGAGAGACTGAAGTTTACAAAACCTACCTGTGGAGCCCTTCTGTCACCCACAGAGCTTCCATATGTATTCTACAAAGAGCATAAATTACCTTTCAGAGAATTATGTATTATTAGACGTTGTCAGGACTGCAAGAGACATGTCTGGTTGCATAAGAACTGGCACAGTGTCTGGACAGAGAGAAGCACAGAATTGCATCAGCTCATCTATTCTATTCCTTTATGTTTTTCAATATGACATCAAGAGGTTGTTGCAAAGATGCCATACAGACAGGAACAAATTGAATGCTTTTTAAAGACTGGCTGCAGAGGGTCTGACACACAGCCTCGGGAGCTCTGGCAAGCTTCGAAGAATTTTATGTAGCCTTCAGCCTGATACCCATTCAGTGAAAATTCTATTTAAATAAAGGAGTTATGTTGTGCAGTGAACTCAGTTGGCCTTTCTCACTTAAGTGCCAGAGTGGAGTATTTGCTGTGGTTTTGCAGAATCTGTGACATAAATATAAACCAGTAAATGAATAAAACATCATTAAATAAAGCTATAAGGCATGTTTACTCCTTTAAGCTATGGACACACATGTAAGTGCAAATCTTGAAAAAAATAATTCTTGAATCAAATTTTAATAGAGGCAAAACTATTATTTTTTAAAATCTCTTGCCCTTGTTCAGCTTAACTACTACTATAAATATTCTTACTTCTTCTAAAGTATTTTCTTTCACTTTTTTAAAAGGTGTTAAAGGAGGTTTGTAACTTTCACCAAACGTATCTTTTCCTTCTTTAAAGCAATGAAAACTGTGCTGGCAGCATGTATTTATATACATAGTATGTATGTATGTGTGTGTGTGTATATATATATAGCTTACCATCTATATGGAAAGAATCCAATTAAATTTCTGTGTTCTGTGACCTGTCTTTATAATCACATTCTCACTGGACTATTTGCTCACAGTATCAGACCTCACTATTTGCATCAGTGCCTTACTGATGTGAGTTCAGTTTCTCTGCTCCTACAGTAGTCCTCAATGGGAGAAACTGGATAGTTACGAAGACAAACTAGGTTAAGGTTGTAAAGACTGTATTTCTTTTCCCAGTGCAGTAATTAATTTGTGGTTAAGATGGAAATGGTGCTGGGTAAAGACCGAATATGTGAGAAAGGAGTGATTACATAAACAAGTTTTCCCTTTCCTGTTACAGCAGATGCCTTCCTCTGATATAGAAGGTGGCATATACTGGGAAAAAGGTGTTTTTATATATTGGGGTGGTAGAGGTCTGTCTTGGACATTAGCAGGTAAATATATTCTATACATCAAATATAAACTTCCTAGCTTTCCCAGAATGGTATGCTTTTAGATTTTTACACAAAAAGCTTCTTTATTGCCTATAAGCAAAGGTCTGAAGAACTTTACTGAGTGCCTAAGGGACCTTTTGGATGAACCTGACCACCTATGGTAAAACTTTTTAAGAGAAGTGAGCAGAATCCTGAAGTAAGCTTTGTGTAAGATGTTTTTATTTCTTTGTATCATGATTAATTTATACTTTTCCATGAAAAGTGAGAAATCTGCATATTTTCTATACTAGAGCTATGTCCAACAAGGTTTATTTATTTATTTACAAGCCACACTTCTTTATGGCTGATATTGTAAGCTAAAATGCATGACAAAGCGAGCCCAGGAAGCACATTAGTGGAGCAAAGGTTCCTGATTCTTTCCTGTGACAACAGGTGAGGCCTTACCAGCAGCTGCTGAAGAGTGGCTCTGATATTCTCACCAGATATTGCATGAAATTACCACAGAAGCAAACTCATGCACAACCAACAGCAGAGCTGACTGGGCCATGAGCCTGTTTTGCTGTATGTGCACAGTTTGTGCTATTTGGGAAATGTTCCTCAAACCAGCTCTTTGAGGTTTAGGTGAAAAGCTCACACATATATTTATGTTTTCTTGTAAAGCCATTCTAGATTTTAGTTGAGGTGGTCTTGGTCTATAAATGGTTGACTTTGTCAAAATAGCAAGTTGGAATAATAATTTGCTTCTCTCCAATGCCTTTAAGTTTATAAACTTGAATTTAGAACATTATTGAATAAACATTTGAAAAAACCTAAAAAAATAACCTCATTCTTTTGTTTGTTTGTTTGTTTTGCCCTACCCTGGCAGTGTTTTAGAGCACTCTGCTGCAAGGGACCGCCACCACCGCGACCTGAATATGACTTAGTTTGCATAGGCCTCTCTGGTTCTGGCAAGACAAGTCTTCTGTCTCAGCTTTGCAGTGAAAGCCCGGAGAATATCGTGTCTACCACAGGTAGGAGGATGCTGTCTTTATTCCATGGTGTGCTGTAACATTGCCCAAAGGTAACTTTGGAAATATATAGCAAAGCTTGCAGAGAGCTTCAGCCTACTTATTTTGATGTTTAAAGTACCTCATGGATTGCTTTGAAGCTACCACTTACTCTTTCCATGTTTATTCATACATTGGGGAATATCCATGAAAACGTACTACTTGGAATGTGCTAAAGGTTCAAACAGTGTGATGTGATGAAGCAAGAACCATAACATACAGTAGCACTATACTGTTAGACACATGACGGCACTTCTTTCTTCTCATTTTACTTTAGGCTTTTAAGCAGTCTTGTTATATGGAGAGAAAAAAAGAGAGTGTGCTATAAAATAGAATAGGACAGTGATGCTCTGAAACTTAAACTGGGGTTTATTTCTGCACATACTTGGTCTGTACTTGGTGTATGCTAGCAACCAAAAGAATAAATGCGATAGAATTTTTTTCTAGCGATAATCCCTACTTTTTAGAGCAGCAACAGGCTTGTTTATGTCATAAGGGCAGACTGAGATCAGAGAATCAATTTACAAAAAGTTTCAGTTGTGTTGAGAAGGTACATAAAAACAGACAGCACAAGCACAGATAAAAGGTATCTTAAGTCCAAAAAATTTGAATAAGCATCTTGATATAGGTGAACCCAAATGCCTAACTCTGAAAAGGGTGTTTTGATTAAAAAACAATCCAAGAACAAAACAGCATCAGAAGAATCAGAAACAGGAATACCTGGCTGCAAAGTTCAGAAAGAGGAAAGATTAGTTCAGAAAGAGAAAGATCATAGAGATCAAAGAAATCTGGTTCAGTGGCTGCAGCAATTATTAAGGTTGATTTGCTGATGGAGCAGATACCAAGTGTTGTGCGAATAACTTGTGTTTACAGTTACATGGCTTTGTATTGTAGCTGTGGTTCATGGGCCTGAATTTCATGAATATTCCTTAGTAACCCTAACTGTTTTTCAACATATCGTTGTTACATTTAGAAGAACATAAGGTTATTTAATACAACTGTAAGTAAAATGTAAAACAGATACAAGAGAATACTGGGTTTTTCTTATGAGGAATAATTAACCTGTTGCCTACATAGTGGTGTTGTTGGGAATGTTAGATATCTGACACTTCATTGTGTGGAGAAGGTGTTAATGACTAACTCAAAAAGTTAGAAGGAAATTGTAGAGTAATTCAGTCCTGCCCCACCCTCCCTGTCACCCTATCCTCAACTGTATCTTTAGAGTTTGCCTGGAATTAGAGCAAATTATACTTTAAAACTTCAGAAAGAAATAGTAACAGCAATTTAAATAGAAGAATAGAGCTATCAAACGAAATAGTAAAAATACAATTAATTAAAAAATGATTTTTTTCCAGAGAGGTGCAATAAAATACCATTATTTAATCAGGCAACTTGAGAAATGAAAAGTTACTCTGTGCAATACTATGCAGCATCCAAAACAAAATGATGCCATATGGGGTATTCAGCTTATAATAAATCTACTCCTATATACCATATCTGTGCTACACCAGAGAATATTGTGGAGAATACAAGAATACAGTGTGACAACTTGTCCACTCATGTTTCAAACTATAATCTGTATTTTTTGTTTTCTCTTCAATGCCACTCAGGTCCATTCCAATTTTTCCTTCTTTCTAGGAAGAGTTTAAGACAACAACCCCAAAAATATTTCATAATTATTCCCTTCAGACTTTCTTGTACTTTCCTCTACTGCATCTAGCACTGACCATAGCTAGAGTACTGGAATACGTTATTGGTCTGATCTGGGAGAAAAAACATCTTGTTTCTGTTAAATGATAGCTAATAAAATTGAAGTGTAATACATTTATTCAAAAATTCTTTACTCCGTTCACAGGTATGTAATCATGTTAAAACTGTGTGCACTAGATGGAAATAAATTTAATGTCTGGATATTTTATGCTGAAACTGCAGACATAATTTTTTGTATGTAAAGTATTATGTACACCTATATATACGTATGTACTAAACATACAGAATTTAGTATATAATACATTGATGAATTGCTGGAAACCTTTCACATTCTCTTGGATGTCTGAATTTTAAGGTAAGGGTAAAGATCCACAGGTTTTGTGGTTTGGTTTGGTTTTGTTTTTGTGGTTTTTTTAATTAGGTTTTAAGCATGAAATGAACTAATAGAGGATTCAGAGATGTTTTTGATGTGCTTGTAACTATTTTGATACATCCAACTAAGGTCTGCAAAAGAATCTTTCAGTTAATAACATTTATAGACGGGGATAATTATACATAAATTCATACTCTGAGTGTAACCAAAACCTGGGAAGATTAAATGGAGGAAACCAGTGATTTGAATTGCATGTTATCCTCGGCATCTCCTAAAAATTGCTGAACAATCACTTTATATTACTGGTAGTCTGAAATCTCTACTTTAGTTCTAGATGTAGTAAAAGATGGTTTTATAACTTTACCAAGTGGTAGATGGCCTGGGTGTAAGTTTTGTGCTTAATTTTATGTGTGCCAGCTACTTAATAGTATAATTGGAAATTTCATTGCTTATACTGATCTATTCTCTTCCTTTAACCCCTTCCACCATGCCTTGTAACTGACTTTAGTAACATACTAAAATAGAATTTCATATGCAAAATCCTGGTTCTTGATGGGAAAAGTCTTCTTTTCTGAATGCATGCAATAGATTTCAAATGGCCTCTTTAACAAATAACTTCCTATTCCTCTTTATTTCTGTTCTTAGGTTTCAGTATAAAAGCAGTGCCATTCCAGAATGCCATCTTGAACGTAAAAGAACTTGGAGGTATGGTGCTTATTTATTTGGTTATAAAATCATTTTAATGCCTAGATCCCGTAATAACAGATAGTTGTTCAAAATTGTTAGTTGTTTTAAATTTAAAAATGATTAATCCATGCAGTTTGAATTAAAAATCTGTGTTTCATCACAGAAGATAAAGTTGAGAAAAGCTGTACAAATCCTGTCCTCAAAGAACAAAGGGTAAAAAGCAGGAGGAGCAGAAGGCAGCTAAATATGGTGTATCTCCTAATTGTAATTTCTTGGATTGCAATGGTTAAGTTATACAGAAATACAGACTGGACTATAACTGTGGTATGGCTGAAGTGGCAACTCAAGGAAGTGCGTTCCCTCTGTTTATTGTATGTATAAGTTTTTACTTATGAGCACTGGCTCAGTTAATTATGTGAACATTTTGCAAAACCAATACGTTCACTGCACCACTGAAACTGTTGCAAAGGTAGACAATTTCTAATGAGTTATATTCTTTGGGAACTGTTCTCTTGTTGGATTTGTTGGATTTTGAGGTGATAGTTGTTTTATCGTTGTAGAGTTTTTTAATTTTCTGTATACATGTAACCTGTTTGGCTGCCCAATTCTGACTCTGAGTCTCAAGTGATCAAGAGGTAACTATTAAAAAGAAGAAAACACTCTCCTAATGAGAATTCTTATGAAGTCTAATGTTTGTCTAGTTAAAAGATTGCTTAGATACTTATATTCTAGAATTTCTTCTTTTTTTAATATATCTTCTTTTTTTATTTATGTAAATAGAATAGAATGAATTTTGAGGATGTTTATTAGATTTTCAGTAAGATTGGAACTTCTTTTAACTAGGAATTAATTTGGTTCTTGAAGAAAGTTTCGTGAGATCAAATTGCATGGCAGTTGTCTTAACTGAAACTCTTTCAAGAGGGCATTAAGATAAGCACATATGGAAAGGACAGCATTTCCTCTTTACTACCATTGGTCCGTGGATTGAAACATACATATTTCTTTCTGAGCATGTATCCTGTAAAAAATAACCCAGTAGTTTTCTTTGATAAAGGGATCAATCCTCAGGAGTAATGTTGATTCTGCTTGAATGTGTTATCTGCATAATGTCACTTAGTCATAATGTCACTTTTTGGAAATTTTTTTTAATAGTGTGAATCATTTGCAGTCTAGTTTATACATTTTGCTGCCCAAGCTGCATGAAATATGTAATTCATGTAGGTAAATGCAGGTTTTGATCAAGAATTGGATGATGTATTCTATAGCAGATTCTCATTAAAGGCTTCTTTTCTAATCATACAACTTTTATTTTATGCAGGTATGTGTGCTTTGAGAAATTTTATCTTAATATAGGGCTTTGACTCATGGCAAGATGTCCTGAAGTAATCCAGAATATTTGATCTGGGTTTTTTTCCCACATTTATCTCTTCTCAAAGACAGAAGGATTGTTCAACTTTTTTACTGCATCATTTCTTTTTCCTTTAAATATGAATGTTTACATGTCTGTGTTTAAAAATTATATAATCTGTTTTTCCTATGAGATATTGCAGAAGAATGCTGATTCCAATAGATTTTCATTGTCTAGGGAGCAAAGGCAAGCTTTCAAAAGTTCGTGTTTCTTCCAAAAGTTGGTGGTCATTAGTGGCATTCCTCAGGGCTCATTATGGGTCCTAGTCCTGTTTCACATCTTTATTGATGATAAGGAGACAAGGGCATGGAGTGCACCCTCTAGGTTCACAGACAACGTGAAGCTGGGCGAGAGTGTTGATCTGCTGGAGTGTAGGAAGGCTCTGCAGAGGGATCAGGACAGGCTGGATTGATGGGCTGAGGCCAGTGGTATGAAGTTCATCAAGGCCAAGTGCTGCGTCCTGCACTTTGGTCGCAACAACCCCAGACAATGCTACAGGCTGAGGGCAGAGTGTCTGGAGAGCAGCCAGGCAGAATACCTGGAGGTGCTGGTTGACAGTGGCTGAATATGAGTCAGCAGTGTACCCAGGTGGTCAAGAAGGCCAATGGCATCATCACCTGTATCACCCATAGTGTGACCAGTGACTCTCCCCCTGTACTGGTGAGGACACACCTTGAGTTGGGTGTTCAGTATTGTGTCCCTTATGACAAGAAGGTGCTGGAGTGAGTTCAGAGATGGACAGCAGAACTGGAGAAGGATCTGGAGCACAAGTCCTGTGAGGAACAGCTGAGAGAGCTGTGGTTGTTTAGCCTAGAGAGGAGGACGCTCAGGGAGACATCATCACTCTCTACAACTATCTAAAAGGAGGCTGTAGCCAGGTGGGAGTTGGTCTCTTCTCCCAGGCAACCAGTCACAGGATAAGAGGACATAGGCTCAAGCTGCACCAGGGGAAGCTCAGTCTGGACATTGGGAAGAATTTCTTCATGGAAACGGTAGTTAAACATTGGAATGGACTGCCCAGGGAGGTGGTGAAGTCACCATCCTGGAAGTGTGTTGTGGTTTTGCTCTGGGTCAATTTGCTTTCACACCCCCACACAATTACTATTAGTTGAGAGAAGGTTTATGCAGACAAAAGACACTGGATTTAGGAAAATAATATGAACATTTATTACTAGCAAAATAAAAACTACTGAAGAACTACATTTATAATAATACTACTTAGGTAAAAGTACTATGTATTTACAGAAATACTCCTCCTCCCTTTGTATCAGTCCAAGGAGGAGAAGCAGTCCTTTTCTCCATTCTCGGAGTTCCAGCTCTCTCTCCAGTAACTTTGTAGCACCTTCGTCGCAGCTGGAACTCTTTCTCTGTGTCAGCCTCTAGGGCTGGACCTACCCGCCTTCTGGGTTAAGACCAGAGGCTGGGGGGTTACCTAGGCCTTGAAGGTTTTTTCTTCCATGGACTTGCAAGGGGACACTTGCCTACCATGGATCTTCTTCCATGGAGTTACAGGGGATAATGGCTTATGAGTCCACCCCTGTCTCCCTATGGAGGTCCCTCCCCACAGGAGAACAGTCCTTGATAGACTTCTCCAACATGGGTCTAACATGGATCCCTTACTTGGATCCCCACATCTCAGCCAAGTCATTCTTGCTCCAGCGTGAGGTTCTCTCAGGGTCACAGATCTCCAACACCAGCAGCATGGATCTCTCATTGAGATCCCAACATCTCACCCGAGCTGTTCTTGCTCCAGCGTGAGGTTCTCTGAGGGTCACAAAATGTTCAACAGGACTCTGCCTTATTTCAGTTCTCTCTCATAGAGTCTCATCTTCCTGGTACATCTACAAGCTCTTCTGTGAGCCACATGGGGGGTCTCCTCACCCCAACAATCTTCTACAGGCAGCAGGGATTTATTTTTTTAGTCTTTACCCTGCTGAAGGGAAAGAGCCAAAGGGGGGGAGAAACAGCCCCTCCTTCTTCGAACTTCTCTCTCCTCCTGCAGCTTCAGCTGCCAACTTTGACCTTGGACACTCCGTTATCTCTCTGCTGGAATTTCTTTGCAGTGGTTTCTCATTCAAGCAGTCAGTCCTTCTTTAAAGACTTTTTTCTTCACTTTCTTACAAGAGAGAGGGGGGGCTTCAGTGCTACACCTGACCCCGGCCCAAGCCGGGGGAGGCCTGGCCCTCCTCGGGCCCGCTGCTCTTCTACATGGCTGCTGCCCCTAATTTCAACTGCATAACCCCCTTCCATTTTCTTAAATATGTAATTAGCGAAGGCGTTACTGACAGTTTTAATTGGCTTTTTGTCCGGAAATCCACCTGGACAAAACCATTCTCAGTCCCAGGGGCTGGCCAGCTGGGCAAAACCACGACAAAGCGTTCAAAAAGTGACTCGATCTGATACTTAGTGCCATGGTCTAGTTGACAAGGTGGTGTTCAGTCAAAGGTTGGACTTGATGATCAAAGAGGTCTTTTCTAATCTAAATCATTCTGTGATGCTGTGGTCAGCATTCAACCTTTAAGCTGAGAAATGTGTTCTGTTTGATGAATGTAAAGGCTGAGTTTCTGGAGTATTCATGGTGTCTCTCTTGCTGCTCTATGAAAATAAAGCAAAACATTTTACATGTTTGATTACTGTTAAATTTTATTTTGGAATTTCTGCCTCTGATGTTGAAGAAAAGTCTATATTTTTGTCTTATTCCTGATTTTTGTCTTTACTTGTTATGGTATTGTTATATAATTTCTCTTTACTGTAGTGTGGAGGCCTTGTCAAGATATTTGATCTTGGAAACTTTGGAGGAAGGTAGAAAAGCATCTGTTTTTACCAACCACTGTCTGCTGTTAAATGTTATTTACAGAGTGAAGTTCTATATAGTTTTGATTTTTGATACTTTGGCTTTTTAGGTAACAGAAAGCTTCATATGTCATAATACAGTAACATATTAACAACCGATATTTAAAACACAGCACAAGTCATATTACTTATGGTTCTTATATTCAACAGCCAAGCAGTTATGTGAAACAGATGCTGACTATGTGGTATCTTTTCTGTTTGGCTGAAGTAGTATACTTCCTTGAGGGTGAAGATGGTGCTAGTTTTTACTGTGCTGTGTGCCTCTGGAGCAGCTGGTGAAGTCAGGTTTTATTTCTTCATTTCTGTAGGGGCTGTAAATTTTCAGGCAAAATATATAGGAGACAGTCTCCTTTTGCCTTTTTCTGGATTGATTATCTCTTCATCATCCTTTAAGATTTAGGAATATGTAGAAAAGTTTGTGGTGCTCTCTTTGCAGAAGTTTTTGTTTAAATTGCATGACACTAAAACATAGAAAATCATACCCAATTTCTGATTTCTTTAAATTGTGTTTGTTTCCTAAGGTTGCCTTCTTACCAGAAATATAGTTTTTATCCAATTTCATAGATGTTAAATACTATGTTTAAAAACCTTGAATTTGATCCTGAAAAAGTAGGAATATGTACAGCTTTCAAATCTAGCATAGACCTACTTGAATTACTTGAAAAGGAAGTCCTGCCTTATTTGCTGACAAAGTTGAACTGCCTGTTCTCTAGGTTACTATTTTGGTATACCAGTAACCCCTTCCTAATCCCTGAGA